ATGCCTTCAATAATTCATGGCGCTCGCACATTTTGTGCGTTTGGCTTTGCAGTATTTCTTTTTGGTGGCCGCACAGTCAAGTTGAAGAATCCGAATCTCACCACAAATTCATCGTTCATGGGTGGATTCAAACTTCTTGTAGCAAGGAAGGCTGTACGGGAGGAGTCCGGCCGACCCCGCCCTGTAGAGCAAAATCGAGATTTTGTTGGGGTATCTAAACTTAAACTAACACGTTTGTCACAAGCAAGCCCGACCTCCGTTGCCGCGCGAGCTTCCAGCGCTGCCGAGGCCTCCGGCAAGAACTACCTGGACCTCCCAATTACCCATAATGATGGCGCTTAACCCAGACTGACTGGTATATAGACTAGTATTATGCGTGTTCAGGAGGTCCCTGAACTCCTGGAGTCTTAGCACTGCTGGCATGTTAATTTCCGAAACCTGGCCCCCCAAGAACAAACATGGACTCTCTGAAAGGGGCCTGCAGAAGACTACTGGCCTTGAGAAGAACGTCTATATCAAAGAGAAATCTTCCGGAAACTTGCGACTCCCCTTTACATACCCCCAAATTCCACAATAGCCGAATTCATAACTAGGAGTCCGTCCTTAACCCAAGCTTTTTTGGATCTTGGTCTGGACATTTCAGGTTGAAGCCTGGAGGACGTGCCTGGTGCGCCCTCCCCCCGTGCACCCGTTTTTTTTGTCGGACCCTTGTCCGTCTGCCCTTTGTGGTTCAGGGCTTAGGTTGCTTGAGGATTCAAAGCCTAAAGGTCTTTAGTGAAACCTTGTTTCAGGCGATTTAGATGCTTGCTGGGCTTACTGAAGTCCAGGCTTCTGGCTTGCTGGTGCGTGGACAGGATTTGACAAGCATGGCTCCCAAGATTCTTTGCCAACAGCGACCCTTCAACTTCCTCATTCTCCGACAGCCGTCTACAGCCGTCCTCTGCGGCCGCCCTGGCTGCTGACGAGGCAGCCTGCAAAAGGTTTTTAGGCAACGCTAGAAGTGTGGCTTTGTGTATCGTGTGAGTGGCTTCGAGGAGAAGTGCAGTAAGGCACTTGGCAGTGGATGCACAGGAACTTTGCATAACCTTGACTATGTGAGATAGAGTTCAATATAGTTCAACAATGGATGGCAAACAACAGGGAGATTGAGAGGATCGCCTCAGCGACAGCAGCTTTGGCCTGGCGCCACCAGCTTGCAAAAAACAGCGTGTGCCCGGACAGGAGCCAGACACTTAGCCAGACCATGTTGCGAAGTAATGCGAACTTGTTCTTGATGTGCCTGCGAGAGCTGCGCGCCCCACACAGGTGCCTTCTCGGCCACCACTGCGCTGGCCTCGAACATACAAGAAGTTGAGTGCGATGTGACCGTAACCCTCAGCTTGGGATGTGCTCTCGCCTCAGCTACCGCAGCCCTTGCTGTTGACACGGACTCCGACCAGCTTGGAGCCTCCCACGAACTCAAATCTCAGAATATGGCACGAAATTCAATTTCAACTCCACTGAAGCTGAAGCCTGTGCCACGGTGCGGAGCGCAGCTGTGCTCCCTGCCTTCACAATCTTCACACTGCAGGATCAACCCCTCACAGCATTAGTGGCTGTCTTCCACTTGAAGTTGTGGCACGTGAGACTGCACAGGACATCCAGGCCAGCCAGGCCTCCCAATAGCCAGCTCCTGCCGCGCGCACCTGGCCAGCTTAGCTCTCAGCTCAGAAGTTTACTATCATATCCACAAACTGGTCAAAAGAACTATTAAGCTACTGCAAAGCGCTGGCACTGCATACTGTGCAAGCTGCAGACACGCCTTGCCCCATAATGATGACAGTCCTTCTTGCGCTGCCTCCCAAATGGCAGCACCCAGATCAGAGTCGGGCAGATGCCGTGGCTCAGGCAGCGACACTGACAGCCCCATCAAGGTCCAAGGCACCTGCATCTGCCACAAGGTGGAAACAGTTCAACATCTCTTCAGCTGCTTGTGCTGTCGAATCACATCTGAGGACAGCACCTTCCACAGAGCTTGCCATTTGCGAAGGTGGATATGGAGAGCTGGACTCCGGACCCTCAAGCGATGCAGTTCAGCTAGTTATCACTTCCGCAAAGCAGCCGAATGTCACAAAGTCCCTGGGATGAGTTTTGCATTCTGCGATCCATGCATGCCAAGAACGTCGCGTGTCGTCTCTGAAAAGCACATACGGCATACCTGAGCTTGTGTGGAAAGGCAGGTCCACAAATAGCTGGTCCCTCTCTTAATTCCAGCACTTCAGACGTTGGGAGATCTATGCTCAGCTCTGGCGTGTCAGCTGGAGGTCCGCGCGCAGTGCTGAGAATCGCATCGAAATCCACTGCGTGAGGCCTTAAAACTCTAGCTTTCAAGCAACACCTATGGGACGATTCGTCACAACCAACACATGTTTGCAGTCATTCAGGATTTTTGGCCCATGTGTTTAGAGGCAGTGAGAAAACAGCTTTTCACGGGCTGCATGCTGTCTTGGGTCTTGTAACGGCCCTGTTCGGAGGCAATTGTTGTAGCAGACCCACTGAGTTTGCAGCGCAGTCACCAAGCTCTCGGCCAAGCCACCCACATCGTCGCGCTGCACACGGAAAGGAGATAAGGCACCACAGACATCATTATTCTGGGCTTAGGCATCTATGCGGCTGGCATGCAAACGCAAAGCAGCTTGTGCTCCAGCATAAAACGTGCAAATATAGCTCGCCTGAAGAAGATCGCCTCTTCTCAGCAAAAGGATTGCGATGACGATGTTGTCCGCAAACTGCACATGAAGCTTGCTCAGCTTTTGGAGCAGTGCAGATTCTGCGAAGGCTGGCCAGCTTCCGGTTCGGCCTGAAATCGTTGAGGATCGGCGAGAATGCTATCCCAAAGGCGAGCCTGCTGGATGTTACCAACGCGGACTGCGGCAATCACCAACAAAAGATTTGCACCCAATCTCACAAAACAGGTGCGGGCAACTAGAAAACTCACAAGGATCTGATCGCAAAGGAAGCACGGAGTGAGGCTCCAACTGCTTGCACCAGCGAGAAGCCCGCGCGGCAAAGGAGCAGAGCACCAAGCCTGTGGGGCATTTGCCCCAATGTGATATGGCACAATTATTGCAAAATACTGATAAACATTGTTCGTATCTGTTGCGTGCCTGAGGGCGGGCATGGCCCCCAAACCGTGATCTGAGAGCAACTTGGCCACCTCAGACCAATCTTCCGAAAGCTCTTGCCTCCCGCAGGAAGTCCCCTGGGTTTAGGGCTGGCTGGTCAAAGCAGCGGTGCAACTTGAGGAGTCGCTGAGCCTGCATGGCCATGCTCACACTGAGAATGCATTGTCGACATTTGCAGGCTCTGCCTGGGCGGCCAGGGCATCATCCCCGAGAATGCTGTCCTGGAATGGCACAGATGTACACGCGTTTTCGCAGCATTGTTCAAAATCCTCCTTGCAGCTCCAAGGTCCTGCGCATCTGCAAGGAGCTGCGATAAACACCAAAAGGCGTCAGCCTGGACCAGGGAAGGCGGGCAACCTTTTCGTATCTGTGTGCAGTGGGGTTGCTGGAGTTGGAGTCTTGCTCACGCCTCCCCATCTTCAAGCTGCACTGTGTAACTCGTCAGGGCGAATACTAACCTCCACGCTTGGAGGAGGTAGCATGGTAACATGGAAACAAATCTGGTTCTTGCAGTCAAGAAGCAGCCCCGCAAGCTCGCAGGCACCCTTCACACACCTGAGATGATGAATTACCAACTGTCAGCTGGGCAAATGATTGACCGCGCCTGGATGCTCGCCAGGAGTATGTGAGGGCAACCTTGCTTGGTAGATCAACAAATGATCGAAGCAGCATTACAACACTTAGAGTCTTAGAGATTAAGAGAAGGATGCCGAACCTACTAACTTGTGGCCAGCAACATTGAGCCGTCTCAAGCTACAACTGATGACCGATGTAACAAACTGCATCCTACCCAGCCCGGCCACACCACCCAAATGCCAAACAAGCTGGATGGACCATCACCACTGCCCTTGCTGCCTGGCCACAACGGCTGAGATGGTCAAAGGGGCAGTGGAAAATAAGGCTGCAGAAGCTGAAGACAACCCACTTAAAACACGAAAAGTCAGACTCGTTATGTTCCGCCCTGTACGTTCTTTCAAGTAGCGCTGTATTACAGAGTGCGCGCATCTGGCAGTTCAACCCCTCTCACTCCTCTGTTTAATAGGTAGTGCTTTCCACTCTTTCTCCTGCTTATTCCCCGATGCCCAACACAAATCGTGGTTCAACTATGCCAAAGCTGTCAAGGGTTCCTCAGCTCGCGAGAAGAGTTCCTCGGGCCAGGCGGTGCGGAGATCGTTCTCCACCTGCCCAGGTCGAGAGTGCAAAAGACGACAAACGGCTGGCCCGATGAAAGGCGGGCCTCGGTCTTCCAGGCTGTTAACCATGAAGAGGATGACGGTGTGCGCTCCTGGATCATATTTGCCACGTGCACAGTTGGCCACCGAAAAGGTGGAGGTGCCCTTCGACAATAACGTGGACATCCAGCCCGACCCCCACTTCGGCAGGACAACGACAGCTTTCACTTCGCGCCACATCGATTGATCTTCTTGATCCATCCACATTGTCAGGTGAGACCGCAGGGCGCTTTGTGCTTTGCATAGGATCGAAATCTGACTTGTCTGGCAAAACTTTGAGATACTATGAGTATCTATGGTTTGAGGCAACGCACCGCCAAGCGCATCGTTAACAAATCTGGTTGGAGGTCGCTTTAGCAACTGATCTCAATCAGTGGTGGAAAAGGTGCTTGAAGAAGTTCTGCCGGGGCCAAGCTTCGCTACTTATGACTTTCCAGCTTTTTGTGTTTGGATCCGCGCCTTGATGTTATTGAAGATTCCTCCTCCTCCGCATCCCTTTCCTGCCGCAAGCTTCAAAGTATTGCAAAACGGGCACAAGTGATTGCAGCGATTGACAAACGGAAATACTGTCGAGGTTGCGATTGTAGCCACATCAATTTCAGGCCTTCCGCCACGCACATGTCCTGCAAACCAATCCCAGTGGGCTGATAACGCCAGGTATGCATCTACATGCGGCACCACGCCAGCCTGGAGACGGTTGATGACTTGGATCTGCTTTTGGGCAGCTTTATTGTAGACCCTGACACACAGGAAAGGTCCAATGTCACCGCACTTCTGCGAGAGGTATTCAAGTTCTGGGGGTGCGTCCTGAGGAGGTTGGCGGAAGTCTCCAGACCTGCGATGGCCCACAACTCTCCACAAATTTTCTGGGCATTGCTGTCAGGATGCCTCGCTTCTTCAGCTGGGCCACTGCCTGAAAAGGAACTGCTACGTGGTACTGGACGAGTCGTATTTACTTGTTTGTTCTATATGTTCAAAAAACAATGTCTGTGCGAGTCGTGGCAATTCCATTGGCTGGTCCCAGAGTTAGGAGTTCATAGATCAGCAATTTCAGATTCGAGCTTGGGAGGTACTTCATGATGTGACATGTTGCGATGAGCACGACACCACCACCAACCATAGCCCCGCCTGCGATGCCTGCTCGACGAGGCCTACGGGCAGCTTCTTAGCAAGTGCCTGGAACTTGTCGTCGACCAACTGCAGCAGGGCTCTACAAGTAGCAGCACGTCTGTGCACAGGAGACGCAGGCTCCGGAAATCTACTGAGATTTGACGTGCGGACGTCACGCACTCAACGATGTCACCTGGAAGAAGTCATCAAACTGCTTCGTCACACTGGTCACCTTGCGTTCGCTCATCACGCTGGATGCTCTGACGGCTGGCGAGGATCTGGAAGGGTTCTAGCTTGACTCTTCTTGGGTTGTCCGAGATTTATAGCGAACATCGAAAGCTTATGTCTGACTCTTGTGAAAAGTCGCAGGCCTTCATGTCATGGCAATGATCAAAAAACGGTCGCTTGCAGATGCTAGCCCCAATTCCACAGGTCAACATTCTCACCTCAACGCAGACTCTCGGCCCCGGACTTTATCAGTGGCTTGAATGAGCGTTGCATTCAGCTTCAGCGCTGAGCAGGAGGCACTTGCTACCTCTGGGGAGCCAGGATTCAAGTCTGACTATAAGCCATGTTTCGAATGAAAAGGCATGCTAATGGTTGAGCCCAAGGAGCGGTCACTGAGCGGGCGTCCTGCGCAATCATGCACTGTACAGCGAGAAGCCAACTGACAAACATGTGTGCTCTCCACTGTCCTTGGCCACTGCAAGCGTTTGGTCTGCTGCGCTGTCAATGCCGGCCAGCAGGGAAACTACCCTGAAGAGCGCTTCGAAGAATGAAGTTGAGCTGGCAAGGCTTAATTGCCACAACAGCAAGGCGTGCAAGGCAGCATACAAGGTTCTTTGGCAGTGCAGTTGAACACTGAGTAGAGGGCGTACTGTTCAGCTTGATGGCTGTGTCCTTACAATGGGGTGTTGTCACATGTCCTGCACTGCTTCCATGCCTAGCTCATGCCGGGTGCACCCACGACTGCACTTTCTGTTCTGACCAGCTGAGAAGCCGTTTGGCCCACTGTTGAGAGGGTTCCGACAACGATATGTTGCAATCGGACAACCTGTCACTCCCACATCTGTGTGACTTCGCTCACACTGTGGCCATGACTCACTCACCACTGCCTGCTGCTTATACTCCCGCCAGAAAACCTGAGGCTCTATCTAGGCACGATGAGCCATGGGAAACCTCTGAATTCCCAAACCAAGAGGCGCGGTGCTTGTCCATTACAGATGCTACCTGCTGCAGAAACATGCAAACTTCAAACATGCTCTGTATGGTAGCTGTCGCCGAAAACCAGGGGTCATCATACTTTCTAGCACGACCCGATGGCAGGTGCATCTCAAGCCATCTGGCCTTTTTCTTGACAATTTCTACCTGCTCTTGGATGGTCATGTTCGCATAATTCACAAACTTTGTCTCCGCTTCCTGCGATGCTGTACGAGTAAACATCCAGCAACATCTAGTCAACGCGTGCGCCCATCACAGCTGCAATCAGACGGGTTTCTGGTCCTCCGCGTCAGCTTCAAACTTGTTGACAGCCTGCCATGCCCAGCATGCTGCTGCGCGCTGGCACCACCAGACTACAACTGAGTCTGTGCAGTAAATGCTTTCTTTTTGGCACCCTCAGGCACCGCGGTTTTGCAGGAGAGAGAGAGAGAGAGAGTGGGAGAGAGAGAGAGCCAGGGGGAGGGGGAGAGGGACAAAGACAGAGAGACAGAGGCAGAGGGGCAGAAAACGGTGCTTCAACGCAAGTTCTGCAGCATGGATGCAAGTTGGAAATGGGCAGCTGATAGGTGTTTCTAGCTTTCAGGGGTGGTGGAAAACAACCTAGGCACGCTACGCGGTTCATCTCTTTTGGACTCTCACAGATTTGCTCTTGTCCAAACAATGTTAATCCAGACGCCACAGAGTCCAGAAAGCCTTTTTACTGGCAGACTTTGAGGGCGGAGTTGGTCGGCTCTGCAGTCTGCTGCTGCAGCTGAATGATTTGACCCCTGCCGAGCCTCAGTACAAGCAAAACGAGAACTGGGCCCGCGTAATACCTTGACATCCGCCTGCTGCCTTGAGGCGCAGGTTCACGCTTCTTCTTAACGCAGAGAGACCCTGGGTGGTGCTGGATGCCAAATGAACCTTGAACAATCATCTCTCATTCATCTTGTTGCGTATGTTTTGTTATTGTTGAGAAGTCTTGTGGCTCTGTGACTTGTGGCAGTTGCTTATAGACTGCCCAGAAGAACCCATGTGAGAAACAAACCAAGGCCGCGTTTGGTGCATGCAACAAAGCCTTGTCAAAGTCATCTAAAGCAGCGTCTGACTGCGACCTGATGCAAGCTGTATCTCCCAGTGGTAACTCTTAATCATCAAAGTGATTGTGATCTTCTCTTGGGGCACCGGCACAATGGTGTCAAGGACTGTCTTCTGCACTTCGCCCACATCCTGCTGAGCCTGCGCATTGGGCCTTTGGGGTTTGGAAACAGAGAGGTTGCGGGTAAAATGAGGAGCTCAGAGGTGATGTCTGCTCAAGCGTTGACATGGAAAACTGAGTCTGGAAATCCGACAGGATCTGAGAAATGTGACTACGGGCGCTTGATGTCACCGCTTCTTGGCCTTGTGCAGCATTCCTTAGGCACACGAGAACGTCTCGAGCCTCATTAAACAGGCAAAGGCTTGAAAAGTAAAGTTCAAGGCTCCTCCAAGGGTGTCCCAAATGCCTTTGTCAATCTCACCCTCTTGGAAGAGTTGCGCCTGCCCGAGGTGAGAAATCTAACCACAACGCAACCTGAGCTGGGCTCAGCCTCGGAGCTTGCAGAGCTGGGCCTGAGACAAAGAATTTCAACGCTTAGTCTCTTCCTAGCCATTTGTCAAGGCGCGTCAGAACGCGGGTCTGCAAAAGGCTTATCTTCAGCAAGTCCGCCTTCACAATGTCCAGAATGTCAGCATCACAAAAACATGATTGACATCAAGCTTGACCGCTCTCCATAGTGTCTGGCTCACTTTGCGATAGCTGGAAAGCTTTTCCGCTTATCGGCTTTCAGATCTACGGATTGATCCACAAAATAGGGGATCACGCATGGCTTCTGCGTCCTCGACATCGCCATTTTCCGCCGACCACAGAAAATCGGCGTGGGACTGGGTGTAGAGCAAAAGCGATGCATGTTTGTGCGAAGTCTACTTAGTGTTGCTCTTGTAAAGAATGTCTTGCCATCCAGTGGTAGCCTGTTTTGTGCAACCGAGCATCGGCGTCACAGTCTTGTGCGGCTTCCATGACGGCGCATAGTCGAAGGGAAACAAGGCAACCTCAAATGTGCACATGGGTGTCAGCAGTTTGTCTGCGTAGGAACACATTCTTTTGCCGCAAAGGTGCAAACGTGCCTCCACTTCATGTCAAATATTTTGGAACTATCGTTGATGGAATCCTCAGCGAGTCGCACGCTGGCAGGTCTGGCCGCAATGTCAGCGCATCTAGCTGGAATGCCGTCAGGTGCTCACATCCTCACCTGTTGTCTGCTTTTTTTCTGAAGGCGAGTGGTGCCATAAAACTATGCGATATCAACACGAGCCAGAAAGTCAAACACAAATCCAATTGTGCTGGTTGGGAGCATCTGTATTCTGGATACGGGCTGGCAGGGGCGGCCAGAGGTGTATACCTGGCCAGTAACCTCATTTGAACTTGACTCTACGCCGGTGAAAACTGAATTCGCAAGCTACTTGTAGAAGTTGCTGATGATCTTGTTTGATCGCTTGCCACCACTAAGTTACACCCCCGTAACATCAAGACTCGGATCCCTAAAACCTTCTTCACAATTAGGGGATGTTGATTGAACACATTGGATCGGGCTGCCTCTAACAGGCATTTGAAACTCTTTTCACTTGAAACCGAATTAAGATAAAAATGATAAAATTGACATCAATTGAAATCTAAGAAAATCGCCTTGAAATCATGTAAAGCTTAATTCACTATTAATTCACTCAAAGCCAGTTAAAGTTTAATTCAAATTGGTTCAAGTCAGTCTAGTAGGCATCAAGAAACAATTATGAACACCAAATTCAACCAGTTCAAAACCAAACTAAAATTCGTCAAATCCAATCTAAAACAATCGAAAATGCATTGCGACATCCAATTACAATCCACTAAACCTTCTTTGAGAGATCTACTTAAAATCTACTCAGATTTTCTCAAAATCTCTGAACAACTACGTGAACTCAGAAATTCTAGTTAACTTCTAGCTAAGATTAAGTGAGCTGTAACTAGAGTGACATTCGACAAGGCTAAATTCGTAATAAGACCAAGTATGACTGCATTTACATGGTATTTTGTATCAGAACTACATGAAGAATCTAGGAAATCAAGGGGAACCCTAATTAATTCGCTTGGATTCCTTTGTACACCCCCCCTCATGACCTCAGGCCTTCCCCATTCACTATTAGGTGGGCCCCCCTTTTAAAAGTAGTCTTCCTCTTGTGAAGGGGCTCTTCAGGATTTTTAGGCACTTGAATTTATTGCTTCATACTATAGAGGCTTGTAATATGGGGGGAAGTGATTGCTCAGCAGCCTTGCAACCCCGAAACTTGGGGGTAGCCCAGCTTTCACTGAAACCCGTTCCCACAAAGCATTTTAAGCCAAGGCCTTCCAAACCAGAAGTAGCATGCACATGTACGTGTCTGTGAACCATGAACCGGTCATCTCTATGCAATGCGTAGACAACACGGATGACATTGCACTGCTCACTCCAAGGGCCCTTCTCGGTGTCGGAAACAAGGAATCCTGGGCGGCGGGTTGGTATGCAGTTCTGCCATGCAATTGGCGCGTTGAGGCTCAAGACAAGGTTCGATGCGAAGGCAAAGGGCTTCCTCCCTCGCAGCTTCAGCTGGAGCCGTGAAGCAGCGGATGTAAGGGAATTTTTGCAAGCGGATCTGGCAGATGGAGACCTGTGCTAGCTGCACGCCACTGCGGCGACAAATGAAGTTCATGCTGAGCATGCACATGCCCTCGTCACATAAGCAGTGATGAAACAAACGTGCCAGCTGAAGACGCTCCTGCACGTCCAGGTCAGGTGCTTCAAGCTCTTTGAGCATCTCGGCCAGGCTTTCATGGGCATGAACTTACATCTGGAGCCTGGACTCATCCTCCACGTTTTGCTCTCAGTGCTACGTCTCAGTAAATGTCCCTGAGCAGTGGAAGGTCTTTGCTGCCAGGCCATGCAGTGTTGCGGGGTTCATCATCATGGTGTTGTACTAATAGTTTGGAAGCTGCTGAGCTCAAATATGAGCGGAGGTAATCACTGCCCTGCTTGCAATGACACTGGTAAGCAATGCCCAAAGATCGCCACTCTACTGGCAGGTAAATCTAAACAGGTTTCGAAGACGAGGGTTCCAGCAGGTTCCAGCACGAGCTTAGGACGCAGCCCTGCTGCGCAGCTCTCGGTATGCTTCACGCCTCCACAGGGACAAAATATGACAAGACTCGTCTGAAGTGACATGTAGTCGAATGACGCACAGGGTCGGCTGAGTGGTGCAACCCCAGCAACTGAGCTTCGGAGCCTCTCGCGCAGCGTCTGCTCATCTTCCATGGTCCTGCACCGGGCAAGGGAAGTCCAATGTGCATCTGATGCTCCTACGGGACAGAATCACTTGTGAAGGCTTATGCTGCGGTCATGAGAGCAGCAACGAGTTTCGAAGCCCAGAACTGATGTACATAGTTCTGCGGGCTTGCCTCCTGTCAGTTTCCATTTTCCAAAAGAGCCCCTGTTGCAGCTGCAACTGTCAAAACATGTGCGTTGAACAACTCCCTGCTCTTTGCTCACCAGGCTGGTTTTGGCCAATGCTTGGTCTCGAAGGGAGCATGATCTGTCAGTGACCTTGGATATCCTTTATGGAGCGGATTGTCTCGACCGTTCCCAAGGCAGTTCATACTTACCGTCATGGGTGGATCTCTAACAATCAGCCTGCTATGAGGGAAGGAAGAGGGGGCATTGTTACCTGGATCAAGTCCGCTAGACAATGGTGAAGAGCCCGTGCTGCTCCCGCTGCCCAGAAGTGCTCGCCATAGTGCTGGGCGTTCGGCGTCGCCGCCTTATTGCCGACGGCTGCTGTGCAGAATGCCACGGGGAATGCCATTGAGATCCATGCAGCCATGGCGAAACGCAATGGCAGCTGCAGTGACTGAGTCGCAATCCTTGGAAGTTGAGGCGAGCGGCTCAAGGGTGACATCCGAGACATCAGGCATGTATCTTGCTCAAAGCTGTGCCTCCATTGCAGCCCTCAGCACGGAACCTCTAGCCACCTGAAAGGATTCGAAACTAGTATGAGAGCGATCGAGTTTCACTTGGAACGACATTACTGCTTGAAATTCGTGGCAATCACACGTGGTTCCGCACATTTGCACCTCTGTGAAATTCCAGGCGATTTCAACATTGATTCCAACACGTCAGGCCTCATCCACATCTCCGCCGAGCTCATCCAGAGCGTGCTGCCTTTCTAGGGCTGCTGCATTGCACTGGACTGTGTGTGCTTACTGGGTGCAGCTCAAGGACGCGGTTGACGGCACCTCATTGACATCCCATTGGACCTCAGTGGGCAGAACTCTCTGTGGTTCGTGTTGTATACCTTAATCGCACAAGATGGCACAAGGTGCTCTCAGGCGTTGGCGGCAATGCGGCTATCTAAAGTGCTGGCCAGCCACCTGCCACAAAACAGATGTTAAGATAGAAACCCAATAACACTCACAGAGCTGCAACAAACAGCGCTTGACTCATCTGACACCGGTGCAGCGATACATTGCCCTGTCCTCACAAGTCAACCTTCGAGGCCCTTGGAAGGCTATTGCTGAATTTATTTGGAGACATTGCAGACACTAGCTGGTTCAGTACATCAGATGGCACCGGCACTCCCCACCATGTGTTTTGGCCATGTTCTTCTTGTAACATCTGCAGCACCGAGCCAGCTAGTGTCTGCAATGTACAGTATCCGAAGAAAACATGCAATGCCGAGACTCGCGTGAAGCCACAATGTGCATGTTAAAAGTCCATGTCGCCATAACAAAACTACCCGAACCATACAGGCTTGCTGTTTGAGAAACCATGTCGTCGCGGTCACTTCTAATGCCAGCTGTTGCAACAGGGCATACGTATCCCATGTCTGTGACTTGGGGTCATGCAATCGTGGCTGAAAGAGCAATTAGAACTCTCAAAGAGGCACTGATCAAAAAGGCTGAGAGCGGGCGTGGGACGCTGCAATCAGTGGAATCTACTCTTGCCGGATGTTCTAGCACAGTACGACAGTCATAAACATGCTGGAACAAGTGCCACACCCAACGAAGCGCACGTCACAATACGTCATAACACATGCGCGGAGGTACTGCACGGCAGTTGCAGGGGGTAATCCATACCTACCGCAGACAAGACAAAGCACGGGTGTCTATCCACATACTTTGGCATGAGAGCACACAAGACACAGGCAAGGGCACTTCACCCCAAGTTGTGCCCAAAGCTCCACAACCTGTGTTAAGCCACTGGACAAAGCACTTACAACATTGGTCGTGTCCTGCTACAAGTAGAAGATGCGGCGTCACGCATGGTTCTGAGGACAGCGCCCGCCCGTCAGCATAGCGCTCGACGATTCGGTCGAGGTTGTTGAGTTTATCTTAGCCACTGCTCAATACATAGCAGCCCAAGACACAAGACTCTGCAAAAACAATTGCAAGAGAGCTACAAGTTTATTGTTTCAACACGGCCAACTGCGCGGCGGTCTATCAGCATTGCTGGGTGTGGCATTGTAGCACAAAAGCACACCTCTAGCCTAGCAAGTGC